CAGAAAACACAGGGTGTTGAATGCAATATACCCCGATTAGAAAACAGGGAAAAAAAAAAGACGAACCTCATGACCAAGGCTATGAGTATGGTGTTTCGGTCCAGAGATATACGTAGTGGCACTCTTTTAGAACCGAAATAGCACAAATAGATGGAGACACCTCGCTTTTCTATATCACGTTACGTCTCATCTCGGGTAAAGTAAGAACCTCCTCCATTTATGGACAGGATCATGTCAAAAAATTAGGCCTGACCAATAACAACGTTGTAATGGGGAGTTTAAAGCCAATTAAAAATAATACATGGGTATTAAACGCAATAAGTACATAACAAAAGGATACCATTTGCGGCCTTTGAAAAAAAAATAATAACACGACGGGTTCTTCAACAATTAAAAAAACATAGGGTTGTTGAATGCAATAAACCCTAATTAATTAAAAGAAGAAAAACAAAGGGAAAAAATTAAAAAAAAAAATTAGAAAAAAAAGAAAGAATTAATGGGGAAATTGATTGAAGCTGGGCGGATGATTCGAACAGGGCTGCGGTGGCGGAGGAGTCCAAACAGCGTGCTGCGGAGCGGAAACAGTCGACCTAGAAATCAACCAACACCGTGCTGCTACTGAAGCAGCCCTAGAAATCAACCAACACCGTGCTGCGGCTCAAGAAGCAGCCCTAGTACCCAATCTGATTGAAGAAGAGGGGCCCCCGCAACCTGGGTGGGGCCTTCCCTTCGAACTGTCACATTTGATCTTCGCGAGGCTTTCTTTGGAAGCAAAGGGTCGGGCAGCCACGGTTTGCCGCGAATTTTACCAAATTCTATCTCCGTTTGCGCCCATTTCGGTGGAGGAGCACGTACAGGGCATCCGAGCGGAACGTGCATGTGTAAAGAAATGGTATTTTTACCAGTCTGTTTTATTCCATTCTTTTACAATCAATATATACACGTAGGTTTGTATGTATAAAAGGAAAATGGATCCTAACTAATTATCACACACATATATAAAATATTACATAA